TCACCAAATTTTCATGCACGAGGAAGACGCCGAAAAAACAGCCTTCATGACTCCCGAGGGCATATTCTGCTACCTGGTGATGGCCTTCGGCCTAAAGAACTCAAGCACCACTTACACCCGGATGGTGGCCAGAGTCTTTCATGCCGTCCTAGGGCGCACCATGGAGGCCTATGTTGATGACATGATTGTCAAAAGTAAACGGTCTTCAAGTCATGCTGACGACCTCCGGGAGATCTTCACCATCATGCAAAAGTTCAACCTTCGGCTAAACCCGAAGAAATGCAACTTCGGCGTACAAGGAGGCAAATTCTTAGGCTACATGGTGAGCCGAAGGGGTATCGAGGCCAACCCTGAGAAAATCCAGGCCATCATCAACATGGAGCCCCCACGCAATGTGAAGGAGGTCCAACGGTTGACGGGCCGCCTGGCAGCCCTCAACCGCTTCCTATCCAAATCGGCGGAGAAGTCTTTAGCCTTCTTCCAGATCATGAGGAAGACCGCCGGCTTCCAATGGACTTCAGAATGCCAGGAGGCCTTCGACAAACTAAAACAGTATTTATCTTCACCCCCTGTGCTCTCCAAACCCAAGGTAGGGGAAACTCTATACCTTTACCTTGGCGTCAGCCCGGCTGCCATCAGCTCAGTGCTCATCCGGGAGGAAGATGGCGTCCAGCATGCCATCTTCTATGTTAGCAAGACCCTCAGGGAGGCCGAACTCAGGTACTCCCCCGTGGAAAAAACAGTCCTAGCCATTGTTTGGACTCTGAAGAAGCTTGGCCACTACTTTCAGGCCCATCCGGTCCAGGTCCTCACTCACCAACCCCTCGACGCCTTGATGAGGAGTCCCACCAGCTCCTCCCGAATGGTAAAATGGACTATCTTCCTCAGCCAATACAACATCGACATCCGTCCGAGGCCTGCCATAAAGGGCCAAGCCCTGGCAGACTTCGTGACGGAATGAACGGCCAGATCAGCGGTGGATGAGGAGCCATCGGCACCTTCGGATGAGTGGTGGACCCTTTATACCGATGGCTCCTCAGCCACCAAAGCATGCGGAGGAGGAGTAGTTCTCATTACTCCTGAAGGCTTCCGGGCCTACTATACCATCCGCTTCTCCTTCAAAGTCTCCAACAACGAAGCAGAATATGAGGCCCTCCTCTGTGGCCTTCGGCTGGCAGCAAATATGAAGGCCAGAATGATGCACGTTAGGTGTGACTCCAAGCTTGTCGTGGGCCAAATCTCCGGGGAGTATGAGGCCAAGGAAGGGAGGATGAAACAATACAAGGAGGCAACTAAAGAATTGCTCAAGGTATTTGAGGCACACTCTCTCACCCAAATACTGAGGGCTCAAAATTCTGAGGCCGATATTTTATCAAAACTCTCGGATGAATCTCCCGAGCACCTCTCCAAAATTGCAAGGATAGAAGAGCTCAACCTCTCAAGCATACACACCAGTCCCATCATGAATATACAACAAAGACCGGAGGACTGGATCTCAGACATCATTGCCTTCATCACCACAGGGCAACTGCCCGAGGATGAGGCCCGCGCCAAGCTAGCAAAACTGAGGGCCCCCAGCTACACCATCGAGGACGGAAGGCTCTACAAACGATCTTACAATGGTACGCTGCTCCGGTGCCTTCATCAAGATGAAGCCGAAGTTGCAATGGAGGAAGTACACAGTGGCACCTGTTCAGTTCATCAGGGACCCTTCTCCATGTCCCGAACGCTCATAGTCCAGGGCTACTTCTGGCCTACGATGGCCCAAGATTGCGCGGATCTCGCTCGAAGGTGTACCGCATGTCAACACTTCTAGAAAGCCCCCGGTAGGCCAACGGTCAACTATGCCCCCATCAGCACATCTATACGCTTCGCTAGATGGGGCATAGACCTTGTGGGCCCTCTGCCGAGGGGTACCTCCAACAACAGGTACATCATCGTTGCCATTGACTACTTCACCAAATGGGTGGAGACTGAGCCCTCGCCAGCATTACTGCGGCCAGGTGCCGCCACTTTGTCCTAAAGAACATTCTCACAAGGTTTTGCGTCCCTCAACAAATCATCTCCGACAATGGGACCCAATTTGAGGAACCCCCCTTCCGTGCCCTCCTAGAGACATGGGGCATCAAACACACCTTCTCATTCGTTGCTTACCCCCAAGGCAACGGTCAAGTGGAGAATGCCAACCGGACATTACTCGAGGGCCTAAAAAAGAAGCTAGAGGCCGAAGGGGGGGGGGGATGGCTAGAAGAACTCCACAATATCCTATGGGCTTACCGCACCACCCCTCGGCGGGCAACAAGTGAGACACCCTTCTCCCTGTGCTATGGATTCGAAGCCAAAGCTCCTACTGAAGTGACCATTCCTACCCTAAGGGTAGCCCAGTATGATCCCGAAGTCAACGACGCCAACATGGTTTCGACCTTCACCTCATCTCAGAACGCCGAGAGCAAGCCTTCATACGAGCGGAAAACTACCGAAGGCAAATCAAAAGCTACATCGACGCCAAAGTCCGCTCTCGAGAATTCCAAGTGGGGGATTATGTCCTACGACGAAGGGAGGCAAGCCAGCCAACCGAGGGCGGCAAAATGGCTCCCAAATTTGAGGGCCCATACATTGTTGCAGCCGTCATCAAACCGGGAACTTACAAGCTCAAACGCCCTAACGGGACTGAGGTCCCCCGTCATTGGAATGTACACCATCTAGTAAAATTTTATCAGTAATGTTGGAGCGACCAAGCCCTCATAACTAATGAATATATTATTTTACGCCCCAAGGCCTTCAAATTTGAAGACATATTAAAGACACCAAGAACAAGAAACAAGACACATATGAGCGGCCAGACCCTCATTCAGACCCCTGGCCCAAGGCCTTATTGCAAGACCCCTCGGCACCAAGTGCTGAGTGTTGACACTCCAATCACCTACGAAAAATGAAGGAAACACCAAGTGTTTTTAAGAACACCCCTCGGTACCAAGTGCCGAGGGTACGTACTCCTATCAACTCCGGACAACGGAAAACACCAAGTGTTTCTTTTTGAAGACCCCTCGGTACCAAGTAACCAGGGGCTGAAACAAACACCAAATGTTGCTTCTGAAGCCGTACCCCTCGAGGACGCATTTATACCGAAGGCGCCACCTATCGGTGCTGGCAGCACGTAGTGCCCCCGTCCATTTGCAATCAGTGTGCAAATGAAAACCCTTCCTTGAAACGCTTTCTGCGCCATTACCCCAAGGGTATGGCAGGCAACTGATATGCCCAGGATTCGACTTTCAAAAACGAAACGCTTTCCGCGCAACTACCCCAAGGGTATGGCAGGCAACTAATATGCCCATGATTCGACTTTCAAAAATGAAACGCTCTCCGCGGCATTACCCTAAGGGTATGGCAGGCCACAGACTATGTCTCGCGCCGAGAGGATGACTTTCAAAACTGAGGCACTTTCCGTGCCGTCCCCCAAAGGTAGGCAGGCTACAGACTATGTCTTATGCCGAGGAAACGACCCTCGATCCCCTCGGAACTCGGAAGGTTAACCCGAGGGGGGAGCTAATGGTGTATGTTGTTGCCTCCCGATAGGCCAAGCCTTACCAAGAAACCAAGTTTCTTGAAGCCTTCCCTTCACTACCAAAACAAATGGGGTGAAGGGGAGTAGACTCAGCGAGAAATCAATGAGTACACAACTTCAACAAATCACAACAGGAAGCCCTTCAGCATCACAAGACAATACAGATCATACCAAGGGCTCCCCATGGGAACACCCTCGGTACCGGTAAACTACTAATCCCTGAAGGCTACTATTAGATGAATACCATCAAGGAATGGTTAAGCCCACTTTCTGGCTGCCTCCGGCTTCACCATTACTGAAGCGAATACATCTACTACACATTACCGGAGGCCAGTCTTACAAGCCAAGGGAAATTATTTTAAGTCTACAAAGTTAGGTGCCTCCGGGACCACCATCCTTCACCAAGGGGAAAATCATGAATTATGGCAAAAATTCTAAGTCCTAAATGGTTGGCCCTCAGCCAACCCATCATGCAACGAAGACCAAGCCATTCAATGCAACTAAGGGAAGACATCGACCGAAGGCCAAGTGACAAGCAACACTTAGAAAAACAAAAAAAATCTAAGTCCTAAAAGGCTTGGTCCTCCGTCAAATTATCATTCATCCGAGGGCAGTACACGAAGGCTGGCACATAAAATTTGAGCCCCTTATCTCATCCAGTCGGAGGGGCCTACTAGCCGAGGGCTCAGTGGCCAAACCACACTTAGAAAATTTCTAAGTCCAAACCGATTGGCCCTCGGTCAACTATCAATGCAACGAAGGCTAAGTGGAAAACTACATTTCAAACTGACATTGCAACGAAGGCCACTCCACTTCATACAACAAGAAGTGCCTACTAACCGAAGGCTCAAGGAAAAACTACACTTAGAAAATTTTTCTAATTCCTAAATATTTGACCCTCGGTCAAATCTCCATGCAGCCAGAGGGTCACATGAACCGAAGGCTCAGTAGTGAGACTGCTCTTGGAGGAATTTTCTAAGTCCTAAATATTCGACCCTCGGTCAAATCTCCATGCGGTCAGAGGGGTCACACAACCGAAGGTTCAGTGGTGAAACAACACTTAGAAAATTTTTCTAAGTCCTAAATGACTGACAACTCAAACATCAAAGTACGAGGGCATTCATTCACAAGGAAAATTCGAAGGCATTCATTTCACAAAGAAAAAACGAAGGCATGCATTCAAAGAAAAAAGCAAATTATATAAAAAAGGCCCGGAGGCATCCATTCATCAATTAACAAAAATGAAAGGCAAGGTAGGTGTTCATATGGGCCGGAGCCAAGAGCTAATAAAGTTATTACAAAGATCGATCAGAAAATTTACTAAGTACAAATCAGATATCAGCAGCTGCGGCGTCCCCCCCCCTCAGCAGCTTTGGAGGTGGCATCGCCTTCGCCCTCATCTCCATCACCACCGAGGCCACATTCCCTGAGGGTCTCTGAATCTTCGAGCACCGGCCTCTCTTCGCCTTCGGGGAGGGGGACCCTGACGTCTGGCTGCCGGGGGGAAGGCCATAAGCTTTAGGATGGAACTCCTCCGGCGAAATGTTGAAGTGCCTGGCAAGCTTTCGGTAGATGAGGCGCTGGGTAAAAAACTCTCCACCTTGATAATAGGAGTCACCCTTCTCAGCGAGCCACATTTTACCGGGGCCTCCAACCCAAGCATCCACAGAAGCCTCCACCACCGAGGACAACCACTCCTTCCGCTCCTCTGCCTTCCACCCCTCGGCAGTAAAGGCGGCCATAACATCTTCCCTGGCCTTGACGACGGCCTCTTCTTTAGCCGTCTGGGCCTCCTCAGCAGCAACACGTGCGGCTTCGGCAGCTGCCTCCCCGGCCTCAGTCAGGCCCTCGCTCTTCCCCTCGGCCTTCGCAACTTGCACCCGCCGCTCCAAGCTATCAGTAGCCACGCGGAGGGAATCCTCGGCCTCATCCAGCTTCTTTTTAAGACTGGCAACTTCCCCATCAGCAGCACTCTTGGCCCCCCTCATCTGCTCCACCCTCCGGAGGTACTCACAGAGGCCGATGAAGTTCTGCAGTAAACAAGGATGATGGTTAGACATAGTGCATACAATACATAAAGACAAAAGCGAATACAAAGGAAAAGGAGAAGCGTGACTCACGGAGGCACTGCTCAGAAGAATCTTGGCTTCAAGGGAGTTTTCATCCATCCTGGCGAGGGCTAGCCGATCGGCCGAGGGCAGCATCTGGCTCACCAGCACCGAGGGGTTGAGGCTGCCCTCCAATACAGAGGCTCCCTTCGGCACAATTGCCTCCAACTTCTCCCGGCCGAAGAAGTCTTGGTTAATATGCTCCTGAGGGATGGGACCGGAGGCGTGCCCTTCATCCACAATGACAACGACATCAGCGGTCGGCTGTTTGCCGGAGGCTGCGACTTTCAGCTTTTTGGCCGGGGGCTCGATCCCCTTATCGCAGTTATTTTTCTTCGGGGCCCCCGCACCCTTGGATCCCCCGGCACCAGCACCGGCAGCAGCAGCTTGGGAGGGCTCCTCCCTGGCGGAAGCACCCGCCGGCTCCGGGCCCACCGGACCCTTCTTCTTCCCTTTCGCGTTCTTCAGAGCGAAAAGGGAGCTCACATCCATATTGTTACGTGCAAAGACAAGACACGAAATGATTAGGCCAAAGGGGATCAATTGCAGTGACATGGATTGAACACAAACAAAAACAAGGGAAAATCCTCTAAGTACAAAACATATGACCCTTCGGTAATCACCTCCGGCTCTCTCGAATACGTGATCTATCGGAGGGTATCTTCCATCCTCCGAGCCCCTCGGTCGATACTGCCGGAAGCCAAGCTTGAACAGTTCGTCCGGGAAAGTATCGTCTTTGATTTTCACGTGCTTCTCGGACCCCTCCGGCTTCTTGGCGAGTATCCTACCGTTCTTCTCCAGGGCCGCACTCCCTACCTTCGGATGACGCCGAAAGCTGTTGCGAAGCGGGGTCGGAAAGGGGTTCTCCTCCAAGCGTATGTAACAATACTTATCCTTCCATCCCTTGTGGGACGAAGGCACGTCATCAAAAAGCCTGAACTCCGGGACTTGCTGCAAGTTGGCAAAGCCCTCAGCGTTCGAATGCCCCCCCCCCCCCCCCGGCACAAGTTGAAGGACATGAAAAATTGGTCGATGGTAGGTGGAACCCCTCGGCTCCGGCACAGAGAGAGATATCCGGCCACATAAGAATGGTTGTTGGGCGTCAGCTGACAGGGGGTGGCCCCACGAACCTTAGGTACTCCAGCAGGAAAGGGTGGAGCGGAAAGCGGAGCCCCATCTCCACTGACAAGGTGTGAACGGCGAAGCAGCTCTCGGGTGCGTATCGTAACAGATCATCGGCCCCTGGCTCCACCACACGTGCCGAAGGGCAAAACAGAATTTGTGTGGCCTGGTATTCGGCCGGGGATGCCCTCGTCTTCAATTCTAGGGCAGCGGTGTTCAGGAAGGAATGGCCCTCGGGAATACCTACTGGCCGTCCGGCGTCCACGGCTGCTTGTTTCTTCTTCGGAGCAGCCCTCATCTTCTTCTTTTTCCTGGGAGCCACACTGATAGGCGTCGAGTCCAAAGGCCGGGAGGTGCTGGTTTCCCCAGCGTTACGTGCGGGAAGCACATCAACTGTGACTTTCATCCTCTCCTCCTTTTGCGCCTCCTCTTCAGCTACTTGGAAGGCGATGACTAACTCCTCATCTTCGCACACCTGCTCAAAATCTTCAGCCTCGGCTTCGGCAATGAAGTCTTTTTGCACTTCCATGGCTACAGCGGCATCATCGCTTACCGAAGGCTGTCCACTGGAAGATTCCACGTCTGAGACGCTTTCTACCTCCACCGAGTCCTCCCTCGATATGTCTTGGGAATCGCTAGCTGAAGACATGACTGTCCGAGGGGTACAGGGGACGAGGGTCCTAAGGCTATAACACTTAATCTAAGGCCGTAAAGCTAAACTTACTAATATGGCAAGGAACGGGTGAAGAACTGACCTCAGAGAGAATGATTTGATCAGAGGCGGGTGTTTATCTCTCTAGAAAAATCGCCAGAGCTTCGTTACAACAAGGGAATGCGCAAGGGATAATGAGGTATGGCCTGGGGTATTTATAGGCGCCCGAATCCGGTCTTGGGCCCAAAACCGGGCCTCCGGTTACGAAAGTCATCATTACACGCTGCCCCTTCCGCCAACCGGTGATACCCGCCCCAAGCGAGCCAACATCCACACGCCATGTGGAAGTCCTCTCCAACGACTACTTTTTAAACCTTCCATGTGCCAACAGACTGATTGCAACGGCTATATTTTAAAATCACAGAGGTGATCCCGGCCGGTACCCCTCATACAACATCATAAGTGACTTTTGGCTTTCTCCTTTAGGAGCCCACGGCTTAACAACGGGTAAACCCCTCGGGAACCTTCACCAACTGTCCCCCCGGCCACGCAATAAGGAGACCCCTCGAGGACATCAAATTTAAAACCCCTCTTGGGTGGACAGCCTTCAACATACAACAACGGGACCCCCGGGTGCCCTCATCCTCAGCTTGTCAACAGGTAGAGAATTCCCCCGGCAACACAGTAACTACCACTTACATTCATCACACCCTCAATCCCATAGATTGAGGGACTCCCCTTCAGCATCCCCCGGGATATTAACAAAGCGCCTTCGGCAAATCAACACACGCGCCCTCAGACCAAGGTTTCACCTTTTCGAGTCATCATTGGAGGAATTCGGTGCACTCTTTTTCCCTCATTAGGATTTTTTTCCACAGGGTTTTTCCTAATGGGGTTTTTAACGAGGCATCCCCCCAAAATGAAACGAAAAGTGTCAACCTTCGGTCCCATGCGACAGCGGGCACTACTCTACTCCTCTTCACCACATTACATGTGCCTCAAGGAGTGGGGGACCGGAGGACCCCTTCGGGAAAAATCACGAAATGCAAATGTCAAAATCTCCACAAAGCAGCAACATAATCCTTCAAGTCCCAAAATGTAGGGGACTGGAGGACTGCCCCCGACAGAATTGTGCGCAAACGTAAATCTCTCACAGGTTTTCAAGCTACAAGCAAGACAACATTAGAGGACAACCGCAATTACTCCTTTTCCCTCAAGTACCTTTCGTCAAAAGGAGTGAGGGACTCCTGATGAAGTATATGGCCCAGGAACCTCCGGCCCATAGACTCCCACTACCATAGCGAATGCCCAATAGGCCCAGGAATCACAGCAGACCCAGATCACAGCGCCCCAAGTGCCAAACAGCCCACGACGAACACTGGGGTGCCTTCGGTCCCCAGGCCGAAGGCTCATAAACTTACAATACAATTTCTTTAAAGGTGTCAAAGTGTCTGGGAGAAAGCGGCAAAAACAGGAGCCCTCGGCACCTAGAGCCCTCGGCACCTAGAGGCTCCCGGTATGAAGAGCATTCGGCCAATCATCTACGGCCGAAGACATCTCCTCGACAGAATCTCTCACCCACATGTGTCGGATCAACGTACTGAGTACAAACGTCACATCCAACCACCGCATTTAATGCGGCCACATGCGAGTGCTAGTGCCACCCCGTTGAGGTGACCCCTCGACCACCAGAATGATGACACATGTCCCTATCTGACATTTATTACTACTATAAATAACACTCATTTTTCCCATTTGTATTCCATGCTCAATACGCTCAACACACTCGCAGCAATATATATTCTCTCTCTTACTTTTGCTCTGACTTCTCTCTAGTTATTCCCCGCAGTAACCTCTCGGATAGATACCCCGGGTACACTTATCCATCAAGTAGCCTGCAATTTTGGAAAATTTTAATAGAAGTTATAAATATAGGTTTTAAATTTTTGATAAGTCATAGTTGATGACTGCTCGAATCTGGATGTAGTGCTTGCTTGGTCACGAAGGATTGCTTTGGGGGAAAGAAGTCGGTTCTTTGATGAAGAAGTCAAGCCCTCCCGGGAGAAAAGAAGTCCAGCTCTCGGTGGAATTTTGACCAGGTCAAAATTAAGGTCTGCAGAATTTGCAGCGGCGGGCACTCATCCTCGCCGCCTGGTGTTACTGTCAGAGAAAACAAAATGGAGTTCCAGGCTGCTCATATCCAACTGACTTTACTGAAGCTTCGCCAGATCTGCCGAAATAGAGGGAACCGCCTGGGCTCGAGCCGAAGGCGCTGCGACCAGGGTGGAGTAGCCACCTGCGATCTGGGGTGCTGCGATGGTGCGGCGACGGAGGGTGAGCCCTCGCATGGCTGCAGTAGGTCTTCCACAGAGGGCTTGTGTAGTCCTCGGTTCGTGCGATTTGAGGAGACAGATTGAAGGTGAAAGGCCTCGTCAGCGTCGCACTTGGGGGTCGCTCGTCACTCCCAGGAACTCCCAAACGGCCATTAATGGCAGAAGCTTGATGGGAGACAAGCCAGGAGTAGGTGAGGCGATTCCGTGTCTGCCAAGTTCCGGACGAGCGTCTCCTTCCACTCCGCCGTTTGGATACTCCGTTCGTCCGCTCCAGTGCTGCTTGGGTACTCCTGGTTCAGCCTTGGTTGCTGCGTTGATGGCCTTCTGCCGTAGGCTGCCCATGCCTATCACATATGTTCCTATTTCCCAAATCTCAAAAATCCCAATTCTGACCTGGAAATTCCCCATATGAAATTTCAGTCTTTTTTCCTCCTTGATTGTAACTGCTATGCACCGTGAGCATTTTTCAGAAATTGTGATGAATTATCTATAATTTTGGGCAAATTTCACTTTTTTCTTTTGCTGGAATCTCTCCGAGTTTCTACCGAAAAAGTTGAGAGATGCCTCTCAATGAAAGCACCAATGTTGGTAGAAAATAACTCGGGTAGAGAATTCGGCAGCATTTCAGTGTAGTAAAAATAACTTGGGTGAATACATGGGGTTAGAGGCCTATTTATAGGCGTATACAACAAGTCCAATAATAAAAGGCTACATGGGCTTGGCCCGATTTATTAACTAATAGTGACGCTAATGGGCCAGTCAGTCCGATAAGTAATTAAATAATCCCAGATCAATATTCGCTAGCCGGACCGTGTTCTGAGCTTGGTCGGGCCAAAGCTCTAGTGTAACAGGCCGATAGTCTTGGACCTGGCCCATTATCTCAACAGTCGGCTTCTGAATTTTGGGCCCTCGGTATTTGAGTTATGGAGTGTGTCTCAAATACCTTGAGTAATTCCTTGACCGCCTCCCTGTATTCCTTCATTCTTCCCTCCTGTGCCTCATATTCGCCAGAGATCTGGCCGACCACTAGCTTGGAATCACACTTTACGTGGATCATCCTTGCTTTGAGATTGGCCGCCAGCCGAAGGCCACAGAGGAAGGTCTCGTATTCCGCTTCGTTGTTGGAGACCTTGAAGGAGAAGCGGATCGCGTAGTAGGCGCGGAAGCCTTCGGGTGTGATAAGGACCACACCCCCTCCGCATGCTTTAGTTGCTGAGGATCCGTCTGCGTAGAGAGTCCACCACTCGTCCCCTGGTGCCGATGGCTCTTCCACCGTCGCCGATCTTGCCATGCACTCCGTCACGAAGTCGGTCAGGGCTTGGCCCTTTATGGCGGGTCTCGGACGGATGGTTATGCTGAATTGGCTCAGGAAGATGGCCCATTTCACCATTCTGGAGGAGCTTGTAATGCTCCGCATTAATGCACAGAGGGGTTGGTGAGTGAGGACCTGCACCAAATGAGCATGGAAATAATGGCCCAATTTTTTTACGGTCCAGACGATAGCTAGTCCCGTCTTCTCCACGGGGGAGTACCTTAGTTCCGCTTCCCGGAGGGTCTTGCTCACGTAGAAGATGACGTGTTGAGTCTCGTCCTCCTCCCGGATGAGGACTAAGCTGATTGCGGCGGAACTGACGCCTAGGTAGAGATATAACGTCTCTCCTACCTTGGGCTTTGAGAGCACTGGAGGTGATTGCAAGTATTGCTTCACCTCGTCGAAGGCTACCTGGCATTCAGGAGTCCATCGGAAGCCGGCGGTCTTTCTCATTATTTGGAAGAAGGGGAGGGACTTCTCCGCTGATTTGGATAGGAAGCGATTGAGGGCTGCCAAACAGCTCGTCAACCTCTGAACCTCCTTCACGTTGCGTGGGGGCTTCACGTTGCTTGGGGGCTCCATGTTGATGATGGCCTGGATTTTCTCAGGGATGACCTCAATACCCCTTCGGCTCACCATGTAGCCCAAGAATTTCCCTCCTTGCACGCCGAAGGTGCACTTCTTTGGGTCCAACCGAAGGTTGAACTTTTGCATGATGGCAAAAATTTCCCGTAGGTCGTCAGCGTGACTTGTGGATTCTTTGCTCTTGACGATCATGTCGTCAACATATGCCTCCATGGTTCGCCCCAATACGGCCTGAAAAACTCTTGCCACCATCCTTGTGTAAGTGGCACCAGAGTTCTTCAGGTCGAAGGCCATGACCAGGTAGCAAAAGATGCCTTCGGGTGTCATGAAGGCTGTCTTCTCCGCGCCCTCCTCGTGCATGTACCCTCGGAAGGCGTCGAGAAATGACATGATTTCACAGCCCACTGTTTCGTCTACCAGCTGGTCAATGTTGGGCAAAAGGAATGGATCCATATGGCAGGCCTTGTTAAGATCCATGTAATCCACGCACATCCGGAAGGTGGGTGGCTTCTGTGCGATGACTAAATTAGCCAACCACGAGGGGTATTTCACCTCCCGGATATGTTTGATGGCGAGGAGCATGGTGACCTCTTCCTTCACGAAGTCCCTCCTTTCAGCCGAGAGGTACCTTTTTTTCTGCTTGACTGGTGTCACCAAAGGGTCCACCGCCAGGCGGTGAGTGATCACCCTTCGGTGAATTCCCGGCATGTCCTCCGCCCCCATGCAAAAATGATGGTGTAGGCGCGGAGGACCTTGGCAATGATGGTCTTCAGTTCTTCTGGGAGCTTGACTCCTATCTTCACGACTCTCTTCAGCTTGGCCAGATCGAGCGCGAAGTCTTCGACTTCCTCTGCTGGTTCTGCCCTTGGCCTCTTCTCCTCATCCTCCGTCGTTCCGGTGATAATGTCTATACGAAACTCGGCCTTACTAACCTTTTTGGTTATTTGGAGATATCAGGCACGTGAGAGTTTCTGGTTCCCCCCTTGAATATCCGACGCCCTCTTCGGCTGGGAATTTGAGGCATAGGTGTTTCATGGAGATTATCGCTTCCAAGTCCTCGAGGGCAGGCCGTCCGAGGATGATGTTGTGAGCACAGCCGAGGTTGACGATGACGATGAAAGGGTTAGGTTGCGTTCTGATGCAAAATGGAAAGGTGGTGGCCTATGCATCAAGGCAACTGAAGACTCACGAAGTCAACTACCCTACGCATGATCTAGAGCTAGCTGCGGTGGTTTTCGTCTTGAAACTTTGGATGCATTACTTGTACGGGGCACAATGCAATGTTTACACTGATCATAAGAGCCTTAAATACATATTCACGCAAAAGGAGCTCAATATGCGACAGCGGCGATGGCTAGAACTTGTCAAGGATTATGACTTAGAGATTCAATATCATGAAGGAAAAGCTAATGTTGTGGCAGATGCTCTAAGCCGTAAGTCAATGCATTCTTGTAGAGCAACATGGATTCTACCCAACGAGCTATGGCGAGACTTCCAAAAGCTGAATTTGGAAGTGAGAGAATTCGGCGTGGTGGATAATGAGGTACTGTTATGCTCTATGACCGTTACCCCATCACTCTATGAAGAAATCAAAGCAGGGCAACCTGGAGATGTGAAATTGGAGCGAGTCAAGTCCGGAATGAAAGACGGAAACAATGGACCATTCGGGATGCATGACGATGGTAGTATTCGTTATAAAGGCAGGTGGTGTGTCCCTATGAAATGTGAGCACGTCAAAAAGCAAATCATGGAAGAAGGACACAACACGCCTTATTCGGTACACCCAGGAGGGGATAAATTATAAAAAGACTTAAAGAAGAATTTCTGGTGGTCGCGAATGAAGAAAGAAGTGGTGGAATTTGTAGCCAGATGCCTTAACTACCAGAAAGTCAAGGCTGAGAGATGCAAGCCCAAGGGACTCATGCAACCCTTAGAAGTGCCAACGTGGAAATGGGACTCGATCTCGATGGACTTTGTCGGAGGGTTACCCCTAACAAAGTCTGGAAAAGACAAAATTTGGGTGATCGTCGATAGACTTACCAAAACTGCGAGATTCATTCCCATGAATGAAACTTGGAGTATGGATAAGCTGGCTAGAGCATACATCCAACACGTGGTCAAATATCATGGTGTGCCCCGAGATATTGTGTCTGACCGAGACTCTCGTTTATTATCACAATTCTGGAGGGAATTGCAAGCGGCTATGGGGACCAAACTAAAGCTAAGCACTGCATTTCATCCTATGACAGACGGACAAACAGAGAGAACTATCCAGACACTTGAAGACATGTTGAGGGCTTGCATACTAGACTTGCAGGGTTCATGGGATGAACACCTAGACTTGATAGAGTTCTCGTACAACAACAGTTACCATGCAAGCATCAAGATGGCTCCGTACGAGGCTTTATACGGTCAGAAGTGTAGAAGCCCATTATGCTGGAACGATATGGTGGATAAAGTGGCAGTAGGACCGGACTACCTCCAAGACACCATGGAGAAAGTGAAGATGATTCAAACAAGGATGAAAGGTGCACAAGATCGTCAGAAGTCTTATGCAGACTTAGGAAGAAAACTAGCCGAATTCGAGATGGGAGAAAAAGTCCTACTCAGAGTCTCCCCGACAAAAGGAATAATGAGATTTGGGAAGAAAGGCAAGTTGAGCCCTCGATTCATCGGACCTTATGAGATAGTGGATAGGGTGGGAAGTGTAGCCTACCATCTGGCTCTACCCACTGAGTTAGATAAGGTATGAAGCGTTCAAACTCTTTAACATAATTGTCAATCTAAAAATACTAATGCACGATATAATAGGTACACAACGTCTTCCACATATCTCAGTTAAAGAAGTACGTCCGTGACGAGTCTCATGTTATCAATCCGGAGGTAAGAACCTCAACTTTAGAACTCTCGAGATCCCAAAAAATTAGACTTTACAATTAACATATACTCTATTAGGTGGTCGAGTTGGATGAAACTTTGACTTATGAGGAGAGGCCTGTCAAAATTATTGATAGCAAGACATGTGAGACAAGAAGAAAGGCGATTAAAATGGTGAAAGTTTTATGGTCAAACCACTTGGCCGAAAACGCCATTTGGGAGACCGATGATGACATGCGAAGCCGTTATCCTGAGTTATTCGAACAAGGTAATATTTAAGTACGAGGACGTAACCTTTCTTTAAGGAGGGTAGAATGTAATACTAAAAAAAATGTTAATTTGTTTTACCTATTCGAATAATGAAGGAATGAAAGAAAAACTTAACTTTTAATTTAGACGGGTGGGTTATAATACCTCGTTTAAATAACATGTTTTAAAAGTTTTATCTTAGCTTATGCTTCGGGGACGAAGCATTCTTTTAAGGAGGGCGGAATGTGACACTCCAAAAATTTAAATAAAAATAAAAATAATTTTTATTAGTCAGATAAAATGTCATTAATGTGACTCTCCAAAAATTTAAATAAAAATAAAAATAATTTTTATTAGTCAGATAAAATGTCATTAATGTGACTCTCCAAAAGTTTAAATAAAAATAAAAATAATTTTTATTAGTCAGATAAAATATTACGAAAATGACATTTTAATTATTAAGTGAGTCAAACAAAAATTCAACAGATGTGACATTCTAACCAGATAAAAATTTCCAAGTTTACGACATGTTATTCTCACAAAAATGGTCTGATAATAGAAGTAACATTTTTATGGTAATTATGAAAGTGACATTTTATTAAATGCTGAACACTTAAAAATAGGTGTACGATTTTACACATAAAAACAATGTTTATACAAAATCTAGGATAA